GTGAAATAGAGGAAGGAACTGAGATGGAATTACTGTAAAAAGGGGATATTGAACCGAATCATAAGATGATATTATTTTATTTCAGGTTTGATAAATCTTTGTAAATCCTGCAATCTGTAATCTCATTCCTTCCAAAAGAAGTTAAAAATCAATCCACTGTTCTTTGTTTCCAAGTTTGAAGACGTTTCTCTTCCATCCTGGAAGATTTTTCAATTCAAAATGTCAGAAATAGTTTTGAGTTCCAGGTTTTATAGAGTGGACCAAAAACATGCTTTTTTTGGCCTGGAAAACATGCAAATTGAACCTGAGGAAATGAAAAATAATCCTGGATGGGAAGAGAAATTTCTTCAAACTTGGAAATAAAGTCCTGTGGATTGTTTTTAACTTTTTAGGAATGACTGTTGTCTGGATGTCTGAGAATCTTCCCCAGCAGAGGCTGAATCTCGGCTCATCCTTCATCCTTTTTGACCTTTGTGTTTCCCTTTCAGTCGCATCGGGAGCAACGTGGACGGCCAGTATTTGATGGACGGCGTGCCGTTCAGCTGCTGCAACCCCAGCTCCCCCAGACCCTGCATCCAGTACCAGATGACCAACAACTCGGCTCACTACAGCTACGACCATTACACCGAGGAGCTCAACGTGTGGCGCCGCGGCTGCAGGGACGCCTTGCTGTCCTACTATGGCGGCATAATGAATACCATCGGAGCCCTGGTGTTCCTGGTCACCGTGCTGGAGGTTAGCGCTGCACAGATGATTGTCACGATTAAAATTACTTTAAAACGTTAGATAATGTCGCAGGTTTTTAGTTTTTATTTAACTTCACCGATTTTACAGAGATTTCTTGGTCTGTCTGTTTGGAAGCATTGTTTATATTCTAACCAGACAAAGAAAAACAATTCACTTAAAAAATAAAACTCTTTTAAATGCATCATTTATAAAATCTAAATATAATTAAAGAGCATATATAAAACATGTATCTTTAGTGAGATTAATTGCATAAAAGAGATTTTTAAAACAATTGTTAGCAAGCTAAATATTTATTTTCCAAGCTAAATACTTAGTTTGTTAAATAAATATTTAGTTTTTTAAATACATATTTAGCTCCAAGCTAAATATCTATTTAACAGTAAAAATTTTACAGTAAAACTTTTAAAAACAAGATACACATAATTATGTATTATCAGATCTGCATCACAACATTATACACTGGAAAAACGATCTAGAAATAAGTAAAAATGTCTTAAATTAAGTGTGTTTACCCTTAATTTGAGCAGGTAAATGAGGTGTTTTGCCAATGGAATGAGTATTTTTACTCTTAAAATAAGATAATTAGATACAATGCACTTGCAAAAGACAATGTTTTCTTATTTTAAATATAAATTGTCTTCTTCCATTGGCAAAATGTCTCTTTCACCTCCTCAATCCAAGAACAAATGCACTTATTTTAATAAAAAATTACTGATCTAGAATTCGATTTTTTCCAGTGTATATGACATGTTAATGATGTTTAAACTCTATAATTGATATTCTAGATAATCCAGACAGTGTAACCACAGCGTTATAGATGAGGAGTGACTCAGGAAACGATTTATTTGCTTCCTAAATTGAATAAAAGCCCATAAAGATGGTTTGAAGTAGTCCCCTGTGAATACAGAAGACGACACATCAATCAGCCCCATTGTCCAGATGTAGAAATGTTAATAGAATAGACATCCAT